AGTATGAACAGTAGGCGACTCTTGTAAAGAGCACACAGTACAGTCTCCTTATACAGTGTGATAACTTTTCTGTAAATTTCACTCACTCTCCAATAAGTTTCTTAGAAGAGAAAAACAACAGCTCTTGAAATTAAGAGCATCAAAGGGCACTATCAACATGCTCAAATCCTCCCCAGGGCACTTGCCCTCATACAAGAGTTGTTTGGTCCACCTGCAGTGCCTGCCCCCTCCTCTGGCAGCCCCACAGCGCTACCCTCCTGGAGGAGGCAGTGTCCCCCGACCACCTGCCAGCCTTCTTCTGTGACTCCCTCCTCCTCCTGGCATCACATAGGCATTATTGGCTCTAACTACCATCCTCTACACCTGCTTTTCCCTGCCCTTACTCTCTGCCCCAATTCAATTACTTATTTTTTTACTGAGATATAATTCATAAACTATAAAATTCACCCTTTTGAAGTATACCATTCAGTAATTTTTAGTATATTTTCAAGGTTGTGTAACCATCACCACTATCTAAATCCAGGTGATTTTCATCTCCCCCAAAAGAAACCCCATACCTATCAGCAGTCACTACCCCTTCCCCCTGGCAACCACTTTCTGTCTTTAGGTATCTGCCTATTCTGGACATTTTATATAAGTCATACAATATGTGGCCTTTTGTGTGTGGCTTCTCTCAGTTAGCACGTTTCCAAGTTATCCATGTTGGAGCACGAATCAATACTTTGTTCTTTCTTGTGGCTGCATGACATCCCATATTCCATTGCATAAGTACCACTGACTTCTTTTTAATGTGATCTTATTTTGGGGTAGCTTGTGTATTTTTGAAAGGGACTTAAAACCTCTTAGAAACAAGTAGGAACTTAGAAAGGTCAGGGTAGGAATTTAGAAATATATATGACCCACAGGAAGGGAGAAGGGGGGTCCCCGGGCTTCTCAGAGAAGAGTTGACCCATGACCAATGGTTTCAGTGCTCCTGCTCTGGGCTGGCATAGAACTGGGCACTATATGCACTTCTCCTCCAAACTGCTGAGTGGGGAGATTTTCAGAGGGTTCATGAGGGTGGCCAAGGAGTTGAGAAATGGCACCCTGGGGAACAAGAGCACAGGGGTACCACATGCACACGCATGCACACACGCACAGGCCTTTTGTGTGTACTCCAGCATTCAACCAAGTCTGGACAACAAAAATAAATCAGAGAGATAGACTCAGCCCCTCCTTGGTGGAAGGGTTCCAGTCATGTTATAGGAAGTTGGGCAGTCCCTGCTCTGCACTGTTGTTCTCATGGGAACACCCTTTGCTGGGAAAGGTTTGCCTGGGAAAACTGTCATGACTACTTCTCACCGCCCCCGCTGGTCTGTGTGTGTGTGCATGTGCGTGTGTGTTTGTTAGTCCTGGTTTTCTGTGGCAGGCAGAGAGGACACAAGCTGTGGGCAGGAGGATTCCCTCTCTCTGCAGGGTGACCACTGATCCTGGAGAGAGGAAGGACAATGGAAAGTGGAGAGGGAAAAAGGGCAGATGTCAATGGGTGGGATGCTTTAAGAGTCAAGAAGGGCCTGGAGGATATGATTGATTTCAGGAAGATGAGTCCTCTGCCATTGAAGTTGAGCTCAGAGAGGTCAGGCCTGCTTTTCAAGAGCCCATGCCCCAAACTGGAAGGAGTGGGAAAATGAATCATCTTGAACCGATGAGGGTGGAACAGCAGAGTGATGCAAACATT